ACAGGGACCGGTGAAAGAATGCTTGCTTTTAGTAACCTTTAGCCCCTACAAGAGTAGCACACCAGGCAACAATATAGGGATTGTGTGATGGGGTTGGGGGTGTCAGCGTACTCAAATCTGTTCATAAACCATGCTTCATGTATCCCATCCCTATCTTGTCTCCCTTTCTTTTTATACCATCCCTATATGCCTCTTTTTTTAAATACGCAGGATTTTTAATTTACTTGTAACCTTTGGGATGGACCCAAACACAGTCCTAGTTCGGTGCGCATGCGCGCCTGGGGTACGGCGCGCGCTCTACTTTTGGTTATGCAAGGCAGGTTAATTAATTGGGAGAGTCCCCCTGGCCCTGCCCGTAGCTCTAACACGCGAGTATTAGCCAGTACAGCGACTTTTGTCTCCGGCAAGTGTTGAGCTGAGATCTCTAGCTATCGATGGATTTAGCCGAATTATCAGAAGTAAGAAACGGGTATAGGGTGGCACGTAACACACCCGAGACCTGGGAAGAACTGAAACAGTTCCAGTTACGGCCAGATGACATTTTTATCGTTACGTATCCTAAGTCAGGCACTACGTGGATGCAACAGATCGTCAAACTACTTCGCAACGGCGGCCAGCCGGATGACGTCAGGCTGGACAGGGCCATTCCATGGTTGGAAGCGCTCTCGCCGGACTGTTACTATGGGAAGGTGCACGGATACACCCCTGAAATGGCCACGTCAAGCGATCTCCTTTTTCCTCGAGCGTTCAAGAGCCATCTCCCATACGAATTAGTTCCCGGTGGTCCTCCCCACACCACTCCTGCCAAGTACATCTATGTCATGAGGAACCCAAAAGATGTGTGGGTATCGTACTGGTATCACCAACCGGAGTACAAGATCACGTGGGATGATCATGTGGCCAAAATACTCAAGAACGAGATCCCGTTTGGTGATTGGTTTGACCACATTCTAAGCTGGTGGAGACACGACAGTGCTCAAACATCCTCTTTGTCAAGTATGAGGATATGAAGGCTGATCCACTCACTGCCATTCGCAGTGTCGCTCACTTCATTGGCATTAAAAATGTGACAGATGGACTCCTTCGAAATGTCTCGCAACAATCCTCTCTCGCAAGCATGCAGAAGGATCCTAGCGCCAACAACAATTGGCAGGTTGGTACAGGCAAGGTGTGGACCCTGGCAAATATGTTTATTAGAAAAGGAGAGGTTGGGGGGTGGAAAGAACAATTTTCTGAAGAGCAGAGCAAGCGGTTTGATGAGATATATGAAGAGAAAATGTCAGGGGTTGGGCTGAAATTTAGATTTGAATAATCAATAGTCATGGACAAAGAGAACAATACGAACTCTGAGGTAAAATTTAATTGGTGTTTTGAATTATGAGGTGTTCTCTATGTTCATGCTCATCGCACAGTGTGAACATTTTCACCAAGTGCGATAAATCCAACAGAGTTAAAAAAATATCTTTCTGGTTGTTGTAAGAAAGGATCTTCAGTAATAAGCTTCTGGCATTGTAGTATAAGACACGTAACTGGGTTTCAGACACTCCAGTGTTTACATTGTTGGCATTACAAGAGCTTTCGCCCTCAACAGGAAGTTGAGATCTGCACATGCGCGTGGGTCTCCAATCGTGATCGAAACCAGCATGTCCTCGTTTGCAGGAAAGGAGAAGAAGCTTTCATGTATAATTATACAAAGGATCGTGTGACCTTTATTGTCTCCTACCCTTAGTCTCGTGGGTTAATTAGACGTAATGTGCAAGACTATCTCTACACTCACCAGTAAAGCTGTCAGGTTACTGAAGAAAAGAAGAAGAGTTATGACAAAACTGTGAAATTGCAAATGTGCAATTCCTCCTGCGGCGATACTAGGGTGCATGGTGGTGGTAAGTATTAGTTAACGTATAGGCGGTGAGGCGGTACAGGAGATACGTAGCCCGAGGCCAGTATAGTTAACAGCCGAGGAGGATTTTGTCGCACCAAGATGCCTGACATTAACTGATTTGTAGTCCAACTAGCCAATCACAATGCTGAATTTCTGCTGGGGTCATCCTGCACTAATGTACTAATGACTGTTGTTTAAACTTTGGATGCCAGACAATTTGCACTACGCCTAGCGCTAGATGTGGTGATAAGGACTTCCTGTTCAATACCGATACCAACAGCCCACAGCTGCTTATATTCCTAGCACCAGGTTGTTTGAAGTTGTACTACAAGTAAAATTAATGCTGTGTACAGTCAGAGCTGTTCAATACGTCAATGGTATAAGCTTGCTACATCTTTGTCCCGGTGATGAAGTGCAGTCCATTTGCAGTGCTGCTTACTTGTTTGCCAAGCCAACTTTGACACAGTGGAATGATAGTCGTTTTAATATCCTTCAAACCAGATTCACTGAAGACTGAAGCGACATATTCAGATGTGAAACGAAGGCAAGTGTGCTCCGTATCTCCAACACAATAACGTAAACCTTCATAGTCAATAAGGCCATTTGTTGCTGTGTTTATCATCACACCGTCTGGTTTCAAAAGAGTCGTAAGTGTCTTCATGCAGCTTTCATAGTTTTTCTTTGTCGAACAGGCAGCCTCTAAACAACCAAACTGCAGAATAATGTCGTATGGACCCTCGTAGCCTTTCTCCATGGGTGTTTCCGAGAGAGCGTCACAAAATACGACTTTTGAGATCTTTCTCATTCGCTGCTCTCTCTCCCTGGCCTCCTTCTCGCCCTTTCCCTCGAGAGTCTTGACGACGTAGTCGAAATGAGGCGACCAGTTGAAGGCATCGGCGTCTCCGTCCAGCCATTTCTGAATTGTCTCGCGATTGGAGGAGAAAATGTTCTGAGCTCGAAAGCGAATGGCGCGACGCTAATACCATGCTGTACCACCGGTCCACTTCCGAAATCAAGAACTCTCAACGTTTTCTTGTCGTTTCCAAACGTAAGAAACAGCTCGTGAAGTTGGTCGAGGACTCCTTTGGTTTTCATGTTATGTACGTCACCGTAGCGTCTCTGCAGATAGCTGACTGCATCAAAACCGTCGTCGTCGTTAGCAGCCATATCTTCAGCGGACAAAGGCGCGACAATATGCGCGGAGCCACGCCTTCTCAATCCGACCTGCGCGCACGCGTCCGCACGTACAATCTGATGAGTGGTGTCTGGATGCAGTCGCTGGCAGTGTTGGTCATTACCGACAATCTGTTCTATGTAGAATAGATATAGCTATAGTACTGTATATAAGAATCATCGCAAAAGAATGAAATCGTAGATGCCTGGGTAGCTCATGATCAGTTGTGGGTAGAGCGCTCCCTAGACTGCAGAGTGTCGTGGACTCTAATCCCACCAAGGGCAACTCCTCTTTCAAAAAGAAAGAGCTGTCCTGGGTGTAGCTAGTTGACTTGCTTGCTTTGCCTTGCCTTTCTACCTCGCTACCTAAGTTGTTGACACATGCATAATAATAAGATCCTAGTAGTGAGCAGTGATCTAAAGAAAAATTTTTTACAAAAATTCAGCATGCAGGAAGTAGCGCATTGTATTGTTCACTTAGATCATCCATCACCCTTTTCATTGATTGAACGCTTTTAGCATTTGATCCCTGTTCAGAAGCCTGTTGTTCCGGTTTCGGTGCATGTTCAGCTACTTCCCTTTGCTCTGTAACACTCTTCTCTTCCTCTTCCTTCTTTATCGGCAATTCTTCACATTGGCTTTGACTGCCCCTTTCTTGAAACAGCTGATTCATTTTCGGTGATTTGGAGAATATTGCAGGGGCTTTCCCTTCAACTTCAACGTTTATGCTAGCCCCTTTGTCCATTAACAACTCGGTTATCTCCACATTGTCATTATTGACAGCAAGATGAAGTGGAGTAAAACCATCATTATTCAGAATATCAGCTATTGCCCCGCAAGAGAGTAAAGCTTCTACAGCCGAGGTGTTGCCTTTGAGTGTTGCAATATGAAGAGGAGATATACCATTGGCGTCTTTTGTATTCAAATCGATTCCCTTTTGAGCCAAGAGTTCAATTGTTTTGATGTCGTCCAAATAAGCGGCAAAATGGAGAACATGTATGCCATTTATTGCACAAATATCAGCATTGGCTCCAGCATCGATAAGTTTTACTGCTGCATCACGATGGCGGTCTTGAACCGCTCGAATTAGTGGTGTAGTTTTAGCACAATCTTGGGCGTTAATATTAGCTTTATAACGAAGGAGAATATCAATAACGTCCATATTCCCTGCCGATGCCGCAACGTGGAGTGGAGTGAGACCGTCATGTGACTCTTTATCAACGATAGCTCCATTGTTTAATAGGAGCGCAGCTATGTCTGGATTGCCATCACTAGCCATTTTATGAAGTGGAGCATAGCCGTTACTTCTCAATTGCTGGTTGACATCTACCTTTGTTACTAGAATTTCAACCAGCTCTATCTTGTCGTGCTCACAAGCAACTATGAGAGGTGTGATGCCCATATCACCACATGGCATCCCGGCATCGCCACCATAGTCAAGCAGCAATTTTAACATTTCGGTGCTTCCGCTAAAACACGCTTTTACAATTGCAGAAAACGACTCGTTGTTAGCTAAGGCATTAGGGTTTACCCCATTGTCGAGGATAACACGGAGGGTTTCTGAATTTGAATCAATAGCGCTAAAGAGGAGAAGATGATGCAGTGACAAAGGCGATTCTTGAAGAAAGTCAGGATTTGCTTGAAGCAAAACTTTGACACTCTCTGCTTGCCCTTTAGAGACGGCCAGCTGAATAGGACTTCTCAGGTTCATTGCTTTCCCCATGGGATCAATCTCATATGGGTAGTGGATCTTAGCTTTATGAAGAACCAACTGCTCTACTAATTCAACCGGGCCATTAAACTCAATGCAAATCAGTAGGGGTGAATGCCCCTTATGACTGCAAATGTTCACATCCGGATCGTACACCAATATTTCCATTGCAGAGTCGAAATTTTCTCTGCCTGACAGCAGTATAGAGCGGAGTCAGCCCTGCAACGCTCCGGACATTGAGCAGCGCAGTCTGAGAGCACAGAAAGTGGATGGCTTCGCTCTTTCCGCAGTTTGCGGCGTGGTGCAAAGCGGTAGACCCATCGGGAGGGGTCTCGTATATATCACAATTGTGTTGGAGCAAAATTTCTAGCATTTCTACGTCATTGTTTCGGGCAGCTACGTGTAAAACTGGAAGCTTACCAGGCGGAGTCCCTGCACGTATACTAGCACCACCATTGAGAAGGACACGGACTGTTCCGTGCTGTTTACTCAGCACTGCGTCCCGTAGAGGTGTGTAGCTGTCGTTATCCCTCAAATCACAGGGGACACCCAGCTCCAATAGCTTCTCTGTCGCCCTGACTTTGCCTTCCTTTGCCGCCAAGTGAAGAACACTCCCGAAATGAGGAGATATTGCCTTAAGAGAAGCTCCATGATTAACCAGCAACTCAACCATTTTACATGTTTTCAAGAATACAGGCAAGAGCAAGAGGTGTCAGGTGATCCTTGTTTTCGATATCAGAGCGGGCACGAACTTCGGTCAACAGAAACTCGATAACTTCTACATTTTGCATCTTGCAGGCTGCAGTAAGAGGTGGTTCAACGGCTTTAAAATTGAGTTCGTTAACAACTGAAGGATTTCGCGAAAGGACTAACTTTAGGAGATCGATATCTCCCGTCTTAATTGCCTCGTGTATTGGGGTGCTCCCCTCGTTATCTGGTATAGTGATGTCGGCCCCTCTATCAATAAGCACTTCTACTGCAGATTTCCTATTAAGACCTGCGGCTGCGTGAAGAGGGGTCGCAGCAACCGAGTCTTGTGCATTTGGGTCTGCACTCTTTGAGAGTAAGAACTCGGCAATATTGGCATACCCTTCAGCAGCGGCTAATCGTAGAGGTGTTCTTCCATTCCTGGAGCGTGAATCAACTTCAGCCCCTAGGTTAACTAGCGTTTTCACTGTGGCAAAGTGCCCACTATGTGCTGCAAGGTGCAAAGGTGTATAATGCTCTTCCGTTGCCGTTCTAATGTCAACGATAGCTCCGTTCTCGACAAGAATTCCAACAATTTCATGCTTACCCAAAACAGATGCTGTGTGTAGTGGAGCATGACCGTCTATGCAATCGTTTGGTTTGACTCCTTGGGAAAGAAAAGAGCTTACTGCACTGCTATCATTTCTTTTTATGGCCTCAACTATCGAAGATGGCGGACTTTGAGAGTTTAAAACTCTCCTGAATTTCTTAACTTTACCTTGCGCGCGATGACCCTTTTCTCCACTTGCGACTGGCAGAGACTGATACAATTGAAGCATGGATGAATTTAACGCCTCCATATAGAGACTGTAGCAATTTTCGGGAGTGACGTGTACCCCATTTATGTTAAAATCTACTAGAAGAGACTCCTTATAGCCCACTGCCTTCAAGCTTGTTTCAACGTCTGATACAAAAGCATTGCTAGAAATGTCAACAGCAAGTCGGAGACAACCGGTAAAGCTAAGAAGTGTCACGTTTATATTTAGACTTCCGAAGTCGACTGGCCCTGTCTGAATGGAATAAGGAGTCAACCTCTCTCCAATGAGTGGGACAACTCTATCCTTCATGTTACTCCAGAATATCTGGCTAAGGAACTTCTCGGCTAGGCCCTTGTCATAAAACCGTAATTCACCATGGACCAAGCAAAGCTTTGGACACTCCTCTTCGTAACTAACTTTAGAAGGCATTTTTTGAACTTTCAAGGATGGATTAACAGCGAGTGCTAAGTCGTGCTGATGGGATTGATACAGAGCTACCGATAACACTTTTCGAAACTCACTTGGCTTGAAACACGTTTTTGCTTCCCCCAACATTTTGATTATGGTGGTAAGGACATTGCCTTTGTTGTCAATCTCGAGCCGATCCAACTGAGGCTGATGAAGACCTAGATGCAACCCAATAACCTGCCATCGCTTGGGGAGAACCTTTTCTGCTATTTTGGCAAGCTCTTTATCATCTATATCAGAGTCTTCCGCACTCACGTTAGATTCGACTGAGGCAGAAATTTCTGTTAAGCTTTCGGCAATCTCTAAATTTCCCTCTGTTGTGCCACCAAAGAAACCGGGAAACAATTTTAGAAGCTCATCGTAAGAATTTTTGATTTGTCTATAGGCATCTTTATCTCGAATGTGAACGGTCGTAAAAGCCGGGTTTTGCGTGTACACCAATTCATATGCGTAATTAGCATTTTCATGGCTGACGTAACGAAACTTTTGATCAATAGAGGAGCAAACGACCAGCTTCAGCTTAAAAAGTATAGCTTGCCTTGCTCCAATTAACGCCCTTAATGCATTATTGACTTTCTCCACCAGACCAGCCCCTTCGATACCATCTAAACATCTTCGTATCTGAGCCTCAGAAGTAAAATGAACTTCGAGCAAAAGGCAATTCTCCTGTACAAAATAGGACCCTACGTGGTCAAAGTACTCGTACGGATCAGGCAGTCTGTACGTCTGGTCATACAACTTTATCTGAAAGTCTCTAAAATTTACATGGTAGGCTTCTAGCGCACCTTTGCCATGGGGGTGAACAATAATTTTAAAGCGTTGTGCTTCTCTGCTGGTTGAGACAGTAACACCGCTGTTGTGAACAAGCAATGCCAACTTCCAAATTAGATTGGGGGGTAGTAGGAGCTCCTCTTCGTTATCCTCGCCATCCGCGTCACCCTTTTCGTCAGCAGACATAATTATGTCTCAATATATACCTGTGGGAAAGAAGTAAGGCAAACTGAATTACTGACAACCGAAAATATGAGAGTTAACACTTAACCAGGTCACGGACACATAAATGTGTCCAGAGCCTCCATAAGTCCATAAGAATTTATATGGGGTTATAATACTAGGTGCTAATACTTTATACCTGCTTAGATAAGCATATCCCCATGGTGTCCAAAGGGTTTATGCATTTTTGGCAAGAAAAGCTCATTTGAACTATGTTCCCACATGCGCATTGTCATGGTGCAGGGTAATGGAAACAACACGGTTCAGATGACCAGGTTGGCTAACTTCCATCGTTTCAGAGCAACAGAGTAAGCAATCACCAACAAAAAGTATGACGTTGCACATGTGGTTATCGATATGTACATTCCTGCAAATTTCATGGCTTTATCTCTTTCGGTTTTTGAGTTATGCTGGTTGAAGAAGAAGAAGAAGAAGAAGAAGAAGAAAAAGATGATGAACAAAACTCCCTATCATAGCCCCATACATCTATGATGCTAGGTATATACCATGCCCATCCCTATATACTAAGTACTACAGTACAGTACTTAGTGATAAGGATCTGGGCTATACAATACAATATTGGTCACAGTCTGTTTACAATACACAGGACAGCCAGGTGTTTATGTATCTAAGAAAACATTTTGGGTGAAACTGAGGTGTAGCTATATATGGAGGCAGATTCATGAGTGTCCGGCTTTGGCCATGTTGTGGTGGATGACTTGGATGTTAGGGCTCTTATGTACACTGTGATAGATTATGTAAACTTGTAGTATGTACAGATACTATACTGCCAATGGGAAAGGCAGGTATGTATGCAGTGCCCAGACAGGACAGCATCGCCCTTACAGGGCTCATGCTGTCCTGTCTGGGTACTGCAACAGATTTGTTGGATATCCCTAGGCAAATGACATGTATGAACCCTGCTTGCACATGTAGGATTGTATAGGCTGATACAATCCCGCAGTACCTAGCTTCATACATGTCGATTGCCTAGCACAAGTACAGATACTACTATAGATTACACCCACTTTTACGAGCTTGTATATATAATATAGTTGACAGTAATGGGCGTGTCCTCCTAAAATAGGCGTCATATTAGGCACAATAAAAATATAATGACAGACCCACGTTGCTTTTTAATTGTTAGTTTATTAGGGAGAACAGAACCAATCTCTAAGGTATGCCTTGATGCTCTCAGTCTTGAAGCTCTCAGTCTTGAAGGTGAGCGATACTTGTAGCTATACATACTAAGGTCAGATATGTGTTACAGAGGCACGAGTTGCCAGACCCACTGCCTCCAATTTGAATCAAACTCACCAGGCGAGGAAAAGAATAGAGGGGTGGTTGTCTGGCTTATGGTAAACGCACACGGCCGGCCAGGTCGCGCCCGTAAACTCGCGATGTGCGCATGCGCCTTGGTATCCCACGCACGTATTTATAATTGGGCATGGCACTAATCGTCGCGGTCGGAAACTTGTGGAGGCTGCTCGGTTGTAGTACTGTGTGTGTGTAACGACGTCCCATCTCGTTGGCCCTCCGTTCCAAGGCTGTATGTCAAGAGGTACTTATCCTTTTTGTTCTATGTAGATAAGCATGCAGTGGTTCCACGGGCTCGTTCGCGCGGGTCACATAGCTAGCCACGCGCGGCTCCAGCGAATGAGAGAGTGTACTAACTGTGCCATAGCATAGTTTTTGAGGCTTTCTTTTGTCTTGTGTTCTATTTAGCTGTAGATTTGATCCCATACATAGCTACGTGCTGTCGCAACGGCGCCCGGGTCGACCCTCACGTCGCTTGTAGCTCAGTTGGTACTCTGGATAGACTGCAGAGTGTCGTGGGTTCGAATCCGACCCAGGGCAGCTCTTTTTTCGTAGCTGAGCTAGTTGAATTCCGTGTTTTGCCTTTGCCTTTGCTTTCGGACCTCTTATCGACTTGTGATGTGTAAACTGTGTCAGGTATAATAACATACCTTGTTACTGTAGGGTACGTATAACAACATACCTGCTAACTCTATATAGTGGTTACCCTACGCATACTGAAACACAATCAGGGTATCAGTAAGTAGATATATGCAAGTTTTGTGGCTCCAGCTGTTATATACACCAGTGTAGAACGTGGCCTCTGCCGGCGCTGGTGCGATAAGATCATGGGCAATTTTTATAGGTGAGTAGATACATGACTGATATGACTGTTTGTCCATTGTGGAGAAGACGACAAGGTGACATATTATACATGCAAGTTTTGTGGTCTAGATGGCTCCAGCTGTTACACATATAGCTTTGCCTTCATTCACGTATCCTGCTGGAGGCAGCAGTCTATGGCTTGAAAGGATGCTTTGTCTAGGGGCATATTACGTGCATGTGTATATTAGTCGACGTCACCCGGCACTATTGTGCTATAATTATACACTACCATACGTTTTGACTTGCCTGATTCCTGCCTCATTACCGTTCCTTTTCCAGCCAGATGACCTTTCATTGACATGCCGACAATGACTAATCGAAAGAGACAGATGATAGTGTTGGGAGTCTTATCATCTGTTTTTGTGATAATACTCTTCCATCAGCTGCTGCACAAGGGAAGTTTTATTTCAAATGAGCCTGTTCGAACGGACCACTCAAATACAAACGGACTAGTCTCAAGAGATGAAGACCAGTGTGTAATGAATAAGGGTGCTCAATGTAAAGGTGGTAATGCAGAAGCAGACACACCACATGAACCATTGTTGTCAGTACCGCAAGAACCACTGTCGTTAGTACCGCAAGAACCACTGTCGTCAGTACCACAAGAACCGTTGTCGTCAGTACCACAAGAACCGCTGTCGTCAGTACCACAAGAACCGTTGTCTTCATTACCACAAGACGGAAAAAACATCTTGTGTAGAGGAAAAAAATGCCCAAACATCATATACCTTCTCGCAGATGACCTTGGCTACGGTGACGTGGAGTACAATAAAGGCGTAGCGCTTACTCCACACCTCAACAGTATGGCGTCCGGTCCGCACAGTGTACATTTCAAGCGGTTTTATTCAGGCGGGCCCAGTTGTTCGCCAACCAGAGGGACACTCTTAACGGGGCGGAATCATAACAGGTACTGTATATGGCATGCGGATCTAGGGGACCCGAAAATCGATCTCACCTGTCCATCGCTTGGTCCTCTCCCGCCCTCCGAGCTGACGGTGGCCGAAGTCTTGCAGGGTGCCGGCTACCACACTTCCATCTACGGGAAGTGGCACGTGGGCGATCTGAGACCGATAAAAGGCGGGAACACCAAGTGGAACGTGTCTCACCCGGGCATGCATGGGTTCAGGGAGTGGTGGGTGACAGAGCGTCAAGTTACCACCTTGCTCCCCAACTGCAAGTGTTCAAAAGACTACTCGTGTCGCTTTGATGCACGCGATTACTACGTGAGGTTCTGTCAGAACTACTGGAGAATGAACGACGAGACGGGAAAGTTGGAGAAATACCCGATGCAGATTTTCGACGACTCTGACTTTCTTGTCGACCGGCTTGAAAACTTGCTAAAGACAAGGGACCCTTCCGTTCCCTTTTTTACGATACTCGCGTTTCATTCGGTACATGCTCCCTTCCTCTCCAAGCCCCATTGGCTGCAGCATTACGGAAAGAAGGGTTATTCTTCGAAGAAAGTAGACTACCTCGGTTCAACGTCGGGTCTAGATGAGGCAATAGGTAGAGTGAGGCGTCTACTGAAGGAATATGGCGTGTACGACAACACTATGCTGTGGTTTTCCAGTGACAATGGCCCCCAAAAGGGAGGACCCGGGTCCAGCGGGGGTCTAAGAGGTCTTAAAGGCGATCTGTGGGAAGGCGGCATTCGAGTCCCCGGCATAATAGAGTGGCCGGCCGCGATAAGCGAAAATCGCGTGTCCTCTGTTCCGGTGGTGACAAGCGATCTTCTACCAACAGTTGCGGATATTGTGGGTGTCGACCTCCCTAGTGACATAAAATACGACGGAATATCTCTGCTCCCACTCTTGACAAACAAGACAGACAGACGTGGCTCAAACATAAACTTTGCTTTCCACATACTAAAGGGAAATCTAGACTCTTCCTACAAGGGTGCAGTTGTAGGCGATCGCTACAAGTACTATGCAGAGTTTGACAGAGGGCACATTCGACAGTTTTATCTGTTCGACATGGAGCGAGAAGCCAACGAAAAGACAAACGTGTCGAAGTCACACCCACAAGTGACCGCCTCGTTGAGAGGACACCTGGAAGATTTCCTCAAGTCAGTCAATAGCAGCGCAACTGACATTGGGTGTCTGTCGACTCACGACCGAAGATCAGACACTATAAAATGCTACTAAGCCAACCGTAGCTATAGACCACCTCAAGTATACACCTAAGTTTAATAATCCGATGTTATAAAATGTTTAGCCACAACTTCTGTATAATTATAGTAACTTAACTTCTGTAGTAGCTAACTTCTGTTGCTAGATTCAAGTTGGTTTACAGAAGCGAAATTTTCAAAATTGCCCCTTAAAAACAGGATAGTTTATTTTGTGGCAACTCATTACTGCAATAAAGGTTTTGACTCACTCAGACAATGAACACATAATACATGACTGTAATAATTATCCCTGTGCAACAACAAATAAACTGTCTATATATAAAATGTGCCAGCGCTTACGCGCTTTGAGTTTAATCATCCACGAACTATTATAGAACAGTTTTCACATCAAAGTTCAGAGGTGGCTTTAGAGCAAACCAATCTCTCAGTGACAACTTCAGATAGGCTGAGCACCTATGGAATGCAGGACACATTACAAAACAATAAAGCAATTCCCTCTTTATTATTAGTATTAAAACCCCATGTACAATACTAGGGGAATGCAATGCATCGTTGGCGAGCGAGTGCGAGCCAGTTTTAGAATCACGCAAAACATTATGGCATCGCCTGATATATAGATAGAAATGGAAAATTGGTCTGTTGGTAGGCTTGCTCCGCTCGTAAATATAGACCTATGTATGAGGGCTCTGGATGGATGCATAAGTAGGTAGTTGGACTGTAATAAAAGGCCACTTACGTTGCAGGTCTCCAGTTGACCCCAGTTGACCTTTCCCATGCAACATACTGGGAATGAGATAACGAGTAATTGATACACATGTGTCAACAAGTTGGTAGTGAGGTAGAAAGGCAAGGCAAGTCAAACAAGTCAACTACACCCAGGAGAGCTCTTTCTTTTCAAAGAAAAGAAGAAGAGTTGCCCTGGGTGGGATTCAAACCCACTACACTCTGCAATCTAGGCGAGTGCTCTACCAACTGAGCTACCAGGGCAACTCAGCTCGTAGGGGTTCGAATCTACAACACAACACAACACAAGGCAAACCTCCAACCACTGTGCTATGGCACAGTAAACTCTCACTCAGTATGTAGGAGCAGACCGGGGTAATTGAACTACCAATGACGCCCAACTCCAAACCGAGTATATGTATGCATGTCTCAACAACTTGGTAGCGAGGTATATAGAAAGGCAAGGCAAAGCAAACAAGAACTACACATGTTCTTGTAATGGTGGCTAAGTACAAGGACAAGCAACTACAACACACACACACACACACACACACACACACACACCCAATCACACACACACACACACACACACACCCAATCACACACACACACACACACACACACACACACACACACACACACACACACACACACACACACACACACACACACACACACAAAGGCTAGGGTTCATAATAGGCTGCATTGCCTCATCCGCCATGGAATGTTGCATCCTATAAACGTGTTAATGGAATGTATAAACATGTTTAAAATTGGAGACAAAACATTGCGAAATGAGGAATGTAAATTAGCTACCACATACCAGTGTCTGGTCATTGGGTTCAAAGGTTACACTGAGGACATTGGTGCCATTTGTATTGTTCTGGAGTGGGAAACAATAACATCCAGTCATCTGACATGTATATACTAGTAGAGCTACAGATACTGCCATTGTGTTTTCTCTGTGCCTTGTTACAATTCAAAAGAAGGTAGGCTGGTACTCACTTGTGTGCGTGCATCCAACATTTCAGTATATTATTATACAGTGAAACTTCTGAGTAAAGGACGCCCGAGTTCTTACTCGAAAGGACACTTGGTTCTGCCCCAAAATGACACTCTGAAGGCTAGAGTGTCCTCCTAGTGGAGTAGTTACCTGGCATATGTATGGATGGAAGGCTAGAGTGTCCTCCTAGTGGAGTAGTTACCTGGCATATGTATGGATGGAAGGCTAGAGTGTCCTCCTAGTGGAGTAGTTACCTGGCATATGTATGGATGGAAGGCTAGAGTGTCCTCCTAGTGGAGTAGTTACCTGGCATATGTATGGATGGAAGGCTAGAGTGTCCTCCTAGTGGAGTAGCTACCTGGCATATGTATGGATGGAAGGCTAGAGTGTCCTCCTAGTGGAGTAGTTACCTGGCATATGTATGGATGGAAGGCTAGAGTGTCCTCCTAGTGGAGTAGTTACCTGGCATATGTATGGATGGAAGGCTAGAGTGTCCTCCTAGTGGAGTAGTTACCTGGCATATGTATGGATGGAAGGCTAGAGTGTCCTCCTAGTGGAGTAGTTACCTGGCATATGTATGGATGGAAGGCTAGAGTGTCCTCCTAGTGGAGTAGTTACCTGGCATATGGATGGATGGAAGGCTAGAGTGTCCTCCTAGTGGAGTAGTTACCTGGCATATGTATGGATGGAAGGCTAGAGTGTCCTCCTAGTGGAGTAGTTACCTGGCATATGTGTGGATGGAAGGCTAGAGTGTCCTCCTAGTGGAGTAGTTACCTGGCATATGTATGGATGGAAGGCTAGAGTGTCCTCCTAGTGGAGTAGTTACCTGGCATATGTATGGATGGAAGGCTAGAGTGTCCTCCTAGTGGAGTAGTTACCTGGCATATGTATGGATGGAAGGCTAGAGTGTCCTCCTAGTGGAGTAGTTACCTGGCACATGTATGGATGGAAGGCTAGAGTGTCCTCCTAGTGGAGTAGTTACCTGGCATATGGATGGATGGAAGGCTAGAGTGTCCTCCTAGTGGAGTAGTTACCTGGCATATGTATGGATGGAAGGCTAGAGTGTCCTCCTAGTGGAGTAGTTACCTGGCATATGTATGGATGGAAGGCTAGAGTGTCCTCCTAGTGGAGTAGTTACCTGGCATATGTATGGATCTTTTCCCTTGTCTCCAGCAATTGCAGTGATGTTTACTGCCTCCATGTAACCTGAAAACAATACACAAGAAACACATAATACTATTTACAAGTTACTAGCCATTTTCCCCATCATACCACCGAGTGTTGTCAAAATATGTACGTGTTTTGAAACCGAAAATAATGAAAAGCACTAAAAGTGCAAACCCTCGGTGAACTGCGCATGTGCGGTACCGCTAATTAATTGTGGGCTGGGTTATTAATATGTGTTTACTCGTGATCTCCATGCTAGTAGCTTGCGTAAAATTTACACAAACTAGCAACAGCAGTAGATAGCTTGCGGGAGTCGATACACGCCCTTCGTTGTGACTTCTTGTGCCTTCAAGGTACACAGAGCAAGCGGACCCGGTCGAAGTATATAAACCTGTGCTAATTAGCATATTGGCTTGTTGACTTGGTTTTCACGCCATAACTTTCGAACGAAGTGCTTTTAGGATTTAAAACAAAATCAAGCCGGTGTAGCACTGAACCCGTTGGTGCCCCTTTCGGCCGGTTTGTCGTGCGTGGTGGCAGAAATCGTGGTAACAGACAGACACACAGACCAAGTGCTGTAACCCTCACTGCGCATGTGCGCCGAGGGTTAATTACGTATGCTGTGTGCATGTTGCGTTTGGTTGCATTCCTACTATTTGTACATACATAGCACATGCATGAGATACCACGATAGTTGTGCAATATAGATGTGACATAATTATAAATAATGCCGGAGTGAATTTTCATACAAAAACTCCTGACCTATTGGTTTGCCCTCAGTCTGGTAGGTAGCGAGGGCATCGTGTATGAACATGTATCTCTGCATGCTCCAAGAGCTGGGAGACTGGCTCCACTCGTAGTGCTCTCTAATGACAGGGTCATACCTGCACAATCAAAAACCAAGTGATCACAAAGATGCAATGAGTAATACCACCACACAAACAACAATGGCAGGAGAATTTCAGAGAATAAGACAATGCTTCTTCAGATGTCTCTTCATATAATTGCAAGTGTTTCATTTTAAAACCATTTGGACGCCATGGTTATCTCTTTTAATACGCAGAAAACCATGTATAAGAAGTATTATAACCCCTATATAAATTCAGATGGACTTATGGAGGCTCTGGACACATGTGTCCATGGCTGGTTAAGTGTTAATGGTACATACTATGGATATGTGTCTGCTACTTACGATTCTTGTATATACTTGATATGTTTCTTGTACTTGTTATGCTACAGTTATTATACAATACTAACCCATGATTGGTTCTCCACACGGCTTCCTTCATTGGGAAGCCAATGTGTACAGTCGTACCGCTGTCATTGTACATGGCATTAGCCTGGAGGGAAGAATTTGAACAACAATACACAATGTGTGTGACAACAACGAGGTAAGCAAACAAGTCAACTGCACCCTGGACAACACAAGAGCTGCCCTTGGTGGGATTCAAACCCACGGCACTCTGCAGTCTAGGCGAGCGCTCTACCAACTGAGCTACCAGGGCAACTCAGCTGGTAGGGGTTCGAATCTACAACACAACACAAGACAAGACAAAGGCAAAACCTCAAACCGCACATTTTTACTTGGGCAGAGTAAGTAGAGTTCCAGATGAGCAAGTTGAGCTTCTATAGAAACTCAGCTACTCATACAGAACATTACACGTGAATTTCGTGAATTGGATAATTATCAGTTGTGTGAACTATTTCGGTATCAGCACACACTATAATATGCATCCTGGAGTAGTCAGGCTGGCCAGACCATCACGCAAGGAGAGGAGGTCCTGCGGGACACCCACAAAAGTCTGCAGTGCCGATGTGTTGGATGGAAAAAAGTGTCCTGCCTAAGTGCGAGTGACCTGCTATGCGCCCACCTTTGCACTATTAATGGACAGGGTGTGGTGTTGATTGCGTCGCCCGCTTAGGAATTCACAACAGTGCTGCACAACTTTACTATACATGCGAGTGTCACCAGACTATCTTTCTCTCCGAGAGAGTCTGGCCAGCGAGACTATGCTGGAGGCCTGTGCTTTTTTTTACATGTGAAAGTTTTTTTAAAGGTGTGTTTAGTACATGTGTGTGTATAGTGAAAGTGTTTTTGCCAAGTAAGGGTTAAGTTTCTACTTACTTCACGAGGGTCGTTGTCGGGGAAGTATGCAGTGTATTGGTACATGGTCTCCAGAGCATAGGCCACTGGACCAGAGCTGGTGCCTTGATGGTAGGCCTCTGCATCCGGGGCTGAGGCTATCATGTGGTTGAACCCTACCGTGTTATTAGTGGAGGCCCAGAGAGTTCTACATAGGGGGAGGGAGGGAGGGAGGGAGGGAGGGGAGGGAGGGAGGGAGAGGGAGGGAGGGGAGAGGGAGGGATGGAAGGCAAGAGAAAATGGAGAGGAAGATAGAATGGAGATTTAGAAGTAAAAGGTGAAACATGAAGAAAAAAGATTTGAAACATAATATGGTGTATTGTCACTAAATTAGAGATGTTACATGATGTACATACGTACATCCCAGTCAACTTAGGATCTTTAGCAATATCAGGGGAATATTCAAATTGGAGAGAGAAGAGAATTACTGAGCGAGAGCAAAATGTTTGCAAACGTACACACGTGCACCTTAAGTACATACAGTTGGGCAGGCAAAACATCCGTAGTGATTGACTAAAAAGCAGGTTTACAACATGTACTGTAGCTGTGTGCCATTACATCACACCAGCTACGTACCTGCCCTCCAGGAGGTCGCTGGAAAACTCCATGATGTAACGAAGCCTCAATGTCCATGGAAATCCGCCGAAAGTTATCTCATTCTCTTCAAGATTAGCCTCGTGCACCGTCAGACCTTAATAGCAACGTGTTAATACGTGATAATGTTTGGGTTAACTATAATATAGTGCACGTCATATTATTGTGGTGTATTGATGTACTGCATAGACGTACCTAATCTGTTGAAGTAAGAATCTTCTTTTTTTTTTTACAAACAATCTCCATATGCACCAAAGTGTAACTATAATTTATTATACATGTTACCATTTGTATATACTTGCATACTACAATAGCTGATATAAACTTGGCCAAACTGCATTTCAAACTTCTACTGTGGTGTGTGCAAGCCTAAGAGTAGAAGTGTGGTCTCATATAAGCCAGTCCCTCTGGTATAGGCTACCCAAGACTGTATACAGGTGTCTACCTTTAGCGCTCATCCCTGCAAGAGTGCCGTAGAGACAGGCAAACCCCAGGGTTGCCGAGGGGATGCCCCCAATCGTCAGGGACGACAACCATCACCACCTTGTGCTTGTTGACTCCAGTGTCTTTGTTCCAGTCGAGATTGCGAGCTGAGTACAGGGACCCCCCCTCCGTCCTGCTCCCCCACACCGCAAACATCGAGCTAAATAAAGACAGCAGATTGCGAGCTGAGTACAGGGACCCCCCCTCCGTCCTGCTCCCCCACACCGCAAACATTGAGCTACATACAGACAGCAGATTGCGAGCTGAGTACAGGGACCCCCCCTCCGTCCTGCTCCCCCACACCGCAAACATTGAGCTACATAAAGACAGCAGATTGCGAGCTGAGTACAGGGACTCCCCCCCCTCCGTCCTGCTCCCCCACACCGCAAACATCGAGCTACATAAAGACAGCAGTAGCAATAGACACTCTCGACGATTATATATATACGTAGCTTGGTCTCATTAACCCTCGGCGCGCATGCGCAGCGAGGGTTACTGTAGTTGGGTTTGTGTGTCTGTTACTCTCAATCTCACTTCTCGAGTGTTTTTTCGTCTCACAAAGGATACGATCTACTTACCGGGCAATGAAGGTCAGAAAATTTGTGGGGTTTTCTCTGAAAATGCTCCGTTGCAAAGCTAGAGCGCTTCCAGCATTGTATGGCTAATGCCGGTAGTCGCCATTTTATCGCTGGCGGATAATGCGCATGCGCTTATAGGCTTACCTCGACGGGGTCCGCTTGTTCTGTCTATCTTGCAGGCACAAGAAGTCACAACGAATGGCGTGTATCGACTCTCGCGTGCTATCTACTAGCCCGTGTCAGACTCTCTGCGAGCTATATACATCGCCGAGGGTTTGCACTTTAGTGCTTTTCATTTACAAAGCATTTCATATCATTCTTTTCCCCCAAAACACACTACGTTAGCTACGTGAGGAAGACTAAATGACTAAAACCAGCATAATAATAAAATTGATGCATGTGCACGGTAAGATTAAACAATAGACACTCTCCACGAAGTCTTCTTTACGTAGCTAACGTAGTGTATTTTGGGGGGAAAAGAATGACGAATGCCTCTTGTGTGTTTTAAGATTGTAGCTGGTTCAAAATGATGTTGAAACTTCAAAAGACACATTTGCTCAGATATGTAAGTACATTATGATTCTTAGCTAATTTCGGTGTTTGCCTGTGCGCTAAATCTTTGGTCAACCTCCGAAAAATTCTACCCTATGTGCTAAAAAATGGTCGATAGGGAATATAATGTAGGGTGACTTTACAGTGTGCCAGCTAGTGCACAAGCAGCAGCAAATCAGTGACTAAGGTTTGTATTATTCACACAACATGTGACGGCTATGAATATCAAGTACTATGTAGTTAGATATTTACCACTGCATTCCGCGAGGCTGTTCTGGGGGAGGTGACCTTTCACCCCAGCGGTAAAGAAGACTCTTGTCAAACTCCCGCATCAGAATGTACACAAAATCCTGGCAACGATAGGTTTACCAAGGATAAACAGAAGGATGGAGAGATAGACACGCAACTATCTAGACCAAAAATGCACACAAGATGAAAACCATAAACGCTCAAAACATATGGATGACATGTAGACATGGCCTAAAACGATTTCATGGTGCCTTTAGTTACTCTCTACACTCCTGAGTTCAAAGAAATAACTTGTATTTATGCTCATATATACTCTAAACAACGGAGTTCATGTACGTGTTTACTAGAATACATGCTATACCACCCTCTCCACCCCCACAAATCTATCACGTGTCACTAACTATGTAGGTGGCAAGGAATAGAAAGCAAACCAGTAGTCTACACGCAGGACAGCTGAAGAGCTGCCCTGGGTTGGATTCAAACCCACGGCACTCTGCAGTCTAGGTGAGCGCTCTACCAACTGAGCTACCAGGGCAACTCAGCTGGTAGGGGTTCAAATCTTCACCACAGTACAACACAAGACAAAGGCAAACCTCAACAAACCGTGATATGGCACACTATTACACTCTCACTCTGTAATGGAACCTCGAGTTGTTTCTCATTCAACTCCCAGTGATTTCAGACAGCCAACTAACCTGTAAGTCTCCTGGAGCGTTGGCAAGGACAATAGCTCTGTTGGCGTAGTTCCCACACTCTGAGCACCCGGCCGCCTTACCACCATCAGCCAGTCCTTGCAGCTCCGTCTTGTACTCCACAGGCAGCTCCTTAGACTAGTGTAGGGAGAATTAAAGGGAACGTGGGGGATAAATTTAGAAATGTTACTAAATATAGAACAAAACAATAGGGGCACAGTGAAAGAATGCAACCGAGTTCTGTTTTTAGTAAAATTTAGCCCTTATATACAGCCACATTCCCTTTAACACATTCCCTGTTCAAAGATAAATACAAGTCTGTTACACACTTGAGATTAGAAGTTGTAATCTCGCCAGTTGTAATCTTCACCCACAAAGGATGATAATAGGTTAACCTTGTCTACATGTATTTTGCATTGCAATTAACACAGACAACCAAAAGAGCTAGTCACAAGAAACACAGTTATTTCCAACGTGCTTATAATAACAGGGACTTACCAGATAATCTGTCCACTGCCAGTCAAGGGCCAGTGCAACAGTCTCCATCAGTAACTACAGAAGTTGATACATAAGCAAGGCTCGGATTTTGTACGACATGCACGAAAACCATGTGTTGGCCAAGTGATCGTTGCTACCGTGTTTTTCGTTCAGTTTATTTTCATTCCAAGTAAGCAAAACGGATTTTCACAGCTTAAATTTTCAAGTTAGCATTCACTAGAACAAACTGTGTGAAGTATACTTGTTCTTGGAAATTGAAAGAACGATAAGAACAAACATATTGGCCTCAATGAAAGAAACCCGCTGGTACACACTATTCAATGCATGTGGCCAGCTTGGATTATCTTATCCACGCTTAGCCAACCTAATCACACTCTGTGTGTTATTACTGCACATACCATGACACAGCTCTGCTAGACTGTGAGCCTATGTGAATTCGCTGTGCTTCACTTACTCCATCATACCACTTGTCCCCCAGAAGGCTCTTCATGAGTGACTGGTAGTTTTCAGCTATCTCATTGGCCAGCAGATAGCCATATCCATACCCAATATCTGCAGCATAATTCAGTGTGAGATACAAAGACGTAGGTAAGGCTCTGTATCATTGTAACAAAGCTACAACAGCTAGCTAAATGCTGGAAGTCAGAGATCTAGATTGAGCTTTATAAATCTGCCGTAAGAGCTACTTGATACGCAGTTTACTGACATATAAATCGTGAGCCTCTGACCGTATCTGGAGCCAGGAAGATGGATCAGCAATGGGGCATAGTCGTAGGTCGTCTCCGCCTCGATACGATACAGCGAGCAGTTGGCCCAGGAGCGCAGTTTTGTGTATCCACTGGGCGTCACCACATCCAGCGGCAGCTCCGCTGTTCCAAGAGACACCAAGGAGATCAGGAAAAGAGCAGCCAGCTTCATCTTGTCGCGTGTACTGAGCCACACCCTCTCTCGCGGCGGTCACGTCCCATTTACGCATGCGCAAGCCGTCGCAATCAACTACTATATTCCGCACGCGCAAGCAAAGCAAAACGCTTGAGCGTTGAGCCCCACCCCTCTTCAGCGACTCCTTATTTTTACAAATGGCTGAAGGTAAGCTTGCTATTTGGAGATGTAAACTCCCGCTAGGGAACATACATTGATACAAGCGTCAGTCGTGTCGTAGCACAGATACAAGGAGGTACGTAAACACAACAACCAACAGCAGATCTGCTTTACTCTCCACTGCAAACTGCTTTACGGATGGCGGAAGGTGGGCATTTCTAGATGGTGAGTATGGTGCATAATGTTAGTTAGTTGCTTTCGCAGCCCCAGCGGTCGATGAGACGTTGAAATCATGTGACGTCTCGGGAATTTTGGACGAGCTTGTGGAGGCACAGAATCACTCCAGAGTGCTCGGAGTCAAGCTATTGCCGCCACACGAGGTGGAGGCGATTCACCGCCAATACCAGGATCCCAAAGAGCGTCTGCTGCAAATTCTTCTTTCCTTCACGAGGCAAAACCAGCCCAGACCGACATGGAGGGTCGTTGTGGAAGCTCTCAGGAGTCCTTCTGTCAATCTACCAGGTCTAGCTGCGAGGGTGGAAGCAACTCATTTCCCTGACTCTACCGCAACACGTGATGTGTTACCTGAGACTACTACTGGTATGTTACCATCAGGTCCACTCATAGCTCTCTTGCTGGTTTAACTGGTAATGCCTCTATCATGTCAGACACCAAAGAGTCTGCAGCCAACACTACTGCTGGTGATGATGCTCTCAAGAATCCTGTAGTCGGTCTAACGGCTCTAGCTAGGACGGTGGAAGCAGCTAATATCCCTGACTCTACCGCAACACGTGATGTGGTACCTAAAGGTATGTTACCATCAGCTCTGACTGTCGATGTCTCTATCATAGACACCACAGAGTCTGCAGCCAACACTACTACTGCAGCTGGTTATGGACATGAGATAAGAACAGAGCTATCATCTCAACCTGCTACTGGCCTAAAACCATACCGTGAGTAATTCATGAATTTTATTAGCCATAATATTATTATGCAACGCATGATTAAATTAATGACAGGCACGTCTAAGGAGGTCAAAGATGATATTGATGTTCTTGAGTGTGAATTTAATAGTCTAAAGAAAAGAGCTATAGAATTGCTTGAAGCAAGCAAACTTGGGGTTGAACATGTTGTATATGAATTAACGACATTAAGTTCATCTGAAATAGATCAATACAAAGTTTTCCTCGAAGAGAAATTAGAGAAGCTTAGACAAAGTAAAAATAACTTGCAATTATTTGGTGACCTTAACCTTCACTGGACATATCTTTCTCCGCATTTTCTGAAAAACCTTGTCAACAAACTTTCTCCTCTCAATGAATTGGAAAGTGATATGAAAGCATATATGAATGATCTTCACATTTTTCGTGAACGAACGCCTTTGGACATTTTCTGCACTGTTGATAAGAAGTATATTAAACAACCAGAGGGGTTTAGCGATGTTGTTGTCAAGTTTAAAGAAGTCAAATTGACAAAAGGAAAGCTGACTTTACAAGACATTGAGGATTTCCGGCAGCAGTATGCAGATTGCTATCAACTCCGTGAATTTGCCATTATGCTGAAAGATGAAGTCAAGCAAAAGTCCTTCGTTGTTACATTCTTTGTCCCAGACTCGGTTATCGAAGTCTTAAGTGCTAAGGTCCCTAGGGAATTGCTTCTAAAGTTTGGGGTTACAAAACTTGATGTTGCTGGAACGTGCCTTTATAGTGAGGGAGCTGGACATGCAGTTCATGTTCAACCTCCGACCTCAACAGGTAAGTATTAGTACCAGTATAAATTTGGTGTTTTCAATTTATCATAAATGAGTGTCCTACTTTTTTTACTGCATTTTTCTTACCATGAAGATGAGCATGCACACAAGAAAGCCTTGGCCAAACATGGTAAGTAAGGAAAAAATGTGTCAGTATTTGGGACAAACTTGAGCTCACAGTTCCAGAAAGAAGTCAATTCGTTCGGGAGAGAATTAGTCGATTCGAGAAGCCGGCAGAGCCCCGGGCAACCCCTAGCAAGAAACAATGGAGGAACACCTCTTCCGGGGAACGAATTTCATTCCTGAAAGGGGCAGCACCAAGAAGTCCTGCTATCAACCAAACAGAACAAATTGAAACAGCACAAATCCCTGCCCCTACCTCGACACATGATGTGGGACCTCAGACAACTGGTATGTTACGATGTGTTCCACTAATCAGTCATGACCCTATTACTCACACACGCACATACAGAGAGTGTGGCCACCAGTATTATCCCATCCTCAAACACAGACGTGCCCAAGACTGCCGGTAAATACATTATTCACAAGTTGTATCATGTCTCTATTACTAACGCACATCAGGTAGAGAAAGTCATGCAGACACTTCAGATGCTGGGAAGTCTAGAATTGCATCTTCTACTCGTGGTATGTACACCAAAAATTGTTGGATACACAGGGTGGTGTTGGCTTATACAGACCACATGATTGCTTGTGGTTATTCTTGGTTCATATATATTTACCCCATGTTTGTTTCCCACAGAGAAATTATCTGAAAAACCAACAGTGCCAAACCAAAGTAAGACCTCGCATTGTAACCTGAGTATCAATTACTCACTGTATTGTACAGGTCAATTTACCAGCAGAGATGTTCTGGATAAAATGAAGGAGCTGGAGAAAAAATTCCTAGCTGTGAAGAGCGACACCATAAAGAGCCTGGAGACACACCACATTTCAGTTGAATCTGTAACCGACTCTCTCGGATCACTCTCACCTGACGACATTAGTGAGCACAAAATGTTCTCAGTTGATCAAATGGATGTTCTCGAGAAAGCCGACAATCAGTCTATGCTCATTGGACAGTTGGACTACAACATGGACTATCTCTCCTACCACCTACTGGATAGTATCGTCGATACGTTTGGGTTGAAAGAGGTTAAACCCCAGATGGAAGAATACAAGTCAGAACTAATGCAATTCAGAATGAAGACGCCCTTAGCTTTATTCTGTCAGAAACAAGAGAGAAAAAGAATCAGGCTCTCCCCAGGATTTGAGGAGGTGGTGTCAAAATTCGATTACACCACTGACATGACACTTGAAGATGTGGAGCAGTTCCGACTAGCATACGCTTCTCACTACAAACTACAAGAGTTTGCAATGATGATATCTGCAGTTCGTCCTGGTTCGTTTATCGTCACCTGGCACGTACCGAGCTGCATTGTCGAGAAATTGAAGACAAACGTTCCGAAAGGCATTCTGAAGAAATGGTTTGTTGCGACACTCACAGTTGCTGGCACCTGTGTCTACCATTTCCATCAAACAGAGGTACTTATATTTCATAGCATTCTAAAATTGGCGTATAGCTCAATTTTTTCTTTTACAGAATTCTCACAGTGAACAGCCTCTCACCATCGACAGTGCTGCATCTATAACTGAGGGGTGGGTTGCTATATTGTTATTCACTGTGCACTACCTTACTTGTTTATCTTTCTCAAATTCAGAGCCGAAACGGAAGACTATCTATTTGTCGAGCAGCCATCTGATGACTTATTCTGCCCAGTTTTAAAGTGTTTCCTGCTTCATCCCCACCTCACTTCATGCTGTGGCAAACATCTCTCGCAAAAAGCTGTTGCAGATATAAGGGGAAAAGGAGGGGCGTGTCCAGTGTGCAAGACGCAAAGTTGGAGCACAATGTTGGACAAACATTTCCAGCGTCAAGTGAACTCACAGCGAATCTGTTGTCGTCACGACGACAGAGGGTGTGGCTGGCAGGGAGAGCTGGCTGCCTTTCATCATCACGTGAAGTCCTGTCCAATGAAAGATGGTCCTCCCCATGACTGAGCTAGTGAAACTGCCAGTGTAAGTTTGTTGTGTATCCTGATGTTTGTGTCTACCAATGGTTGTACTGTTTCTATATACAGATACAGTGAAGAAGTTACACAATCAGGAGACGTTTCCGAGTTAGGCTTAGAAAATGTTTCACGAAGATCTCTGGTAAATACTGTATTGAAAATATGAAACCAATAGGACAACATATAGGCATCTACCATGTTCTGCCTCATGCACTGAACTGTTAACCCTCCTAAGCAGCGCCAGTGTAAATACGCATATCTAAGAATTGCATGTGACCGTTCAACTACGAGAGAATGAGATTGAGGAACGACACTTTATCCAACAGGAGAAAAGCACAACACTGCAGGTGGAGAAACTGAGTGAGAAGGAAGAGATGTTGCTGCAACAGCTAGCAAGAAAGCAAGAAGAATTGGATAAAGCTCAGAAGCAACTAAAAGAGAAGGTGAACTGTGAGTGTGTGTTGAATAAAATCATTGTGACTGTTATGAATCTGCAGGACGAAAAGCTGCGGTTGAAGGAGAGTCAAGTGGCAGATCTACAAAAGCTGCTCAAGCAAAGAGATCCAGAGACAAAGGTCAGTAGCTATAGTGAATATGTTAACCTCTCACTCACTGAGAATGAATTCTGTAGCAATGTGTGTATTGGCTACTCCTCCCCCTTTTCTCAGACCAAGACTGGTCTCCTAGCAACAGATACACCTCCTTCCAAACAACCCGCACCTTTTCCAAGAAAGGTAGTAATGAATGTGTGCATGCCAAAACAAGGCATTTATGTTGTGACTCTTGTGTATATTATATGTATGTAAGAGTCACATTCATTATGGCATACTTGGTCAGTTTTTTTACGAGACAGAGGAGGGACACAGACTTGCGTACAAACAGTATTTCCTGCATTGATGCCCATATATACATAATTACTGAAACCAACATATGCCTTGTTATACCATACATTACTTCATGTGAGGTCCTTTACTTTCCCAACTTTCAGAACCAAGTACCAGCTCTACCACCACACCCTCTACCCCTGCACACACCATACGAGACTGTTAATCTACAACCTACAGCTAAACCAAGAAAGGTATAATTAATTATATTAACCGTATCGGGACATTAGTCTCATTCAACTTTAATAAAAGAACCCAAAGCAACAAAGTTGCATACATGCATTGTGTATCATGTGTATTATACCTTCTGCATGAGATCACAATGCAACATTATCAGTATTCATTAAGGTTTACCATCTACCGTGAATACTGCTGGTTCTCATAATATTCAGAGCATTCCTGGCCACACAATGACGTGCACACCTGCACCCTCCCCACCTGAACTATCACCACCTGCACAACAACCAGCACAGGTGCGCCATGTGCGTGTGGATGATATTCATTTCTATAATGATTATTAGAGTGTCATGCACTGAGGAACGCATCATGTGTGCTATTCAAAAGTGTGCTCATGCATATGTTTGTTCCTCGATTATTGTTTGCCATAGTAAGGCCTTCCATGTTAGAAGAGAGATTTATTAACCACTGACAAAAAGTATGACAGCTATAAAGTTGTATACAGGCATTTTACTTTGTGTCTCCCTTCAGCTAAAGGTTCAATGCCTCCATAAGGGCAAGAGACCACCTTGTTCCATGCACAGAGGATCCGTAGCAACTGACGGCACACCTGCGTACTTTACATCACATGACTCCACCTCACTGTACAAGTATCAATTCGATACGGAGCAATGGACGGAACTTGTATCATGCCATTATCGAAACTCTGGACTAGTCGTACTTAAAGATCATGAACCGACTGCAGTGGGAGGACGAGATGGATCGTTGCCCACGAATAAACTGCTCACACTTCGGCAGAATGAACTATGGCACGAGACTTATCCGCAAATGCGAACAGCACGTTCCAGCCCTGCTGTAGTTAGTACGTCTGATTGCAACCATGTTGTCGTTATTGGAGGGTGTATTAATATTGACAACTGGACTACTACCGTCGAAATACTCCAAGTGAAAAGCAAAACGTGGTACAAAGTAGCCAATATGACAGGACCTCTCCCTTTCCCTTCAGCCGCAATATGTGGTGATCGATTGCATGTAATAGGAAGTGATACCAGTGGATACTCATGCTCTCTTCAGGAAATACTACAGCAGTGTCAACCAATATCACAACCACCACTGCACTCTGTGCCACATACATCTATATGGAGATATCTCCCCACTCTACCTCAGAAGGATTCGACAGCAGCAACTCTCGGTGGAGAGCTGGTAGTGATTGGTGGAGGGTTTGGAGAGTCATCAGTGAACTTTATTCACCAGATAGTTGACCAAAAGTGGGTGGAGATTGGTTGCTTGGCTACTGGGAGAAGGAGGTGTTTGGTAGCCAATGAATCGCCCGAGAAGATATTCATAGTTGGAGGAATATCGGAAGACAGTGTTGAAGAATGTACTGTTATCGATGCAACTGCTTTTATGTAGGTGATTTAGGAGTATGTGCATAATAGCTAGAAGTTAGAATCTTTCATAATTATTTATGTAACACAAGGGGTATTTTTTCAAGCAAGTGTTGAATGCGCAGTTTAACACGAGTATGTAAAAGCATTACGGTATACACAATGCCCAGTGCAAGTGAAGCAAATGCCTGTCAGTAATATTCGCACAATAATTATCAGTAATAATGATTGGAATCTACTAAAATCTCTCCTACTTATGGAATATATACAAAATACTAAAACTACAACAGAAATAGAGTTCTAGCAAGCTATAATTATAACTGAACATTTTTGGAAATTAATGTTTAGAAATTTTGTCGCAGCCTGGAGAAGTGAAACCAGCACACACTGCATTTTGCAGATGACAGAGTCTTTTCCCAGTATACTCATCCATCCGTCCATCCGTCCATCAATAAATGAAATGTGTTTCATCGTGTAGTGTAGGTCATCTGCTTTTTGACTTCTTTCATGATGCATATGACTTTCAGAAGAGCACCGCTTCTCTCTTGCTATGTGGCCACAAAATTTTCAAAAGTTGCCTGCATTGAGGCCTATGCAGCTATACAAATAGCCTAAAAAGACATGCCTTGTGTTGGCATATTATAATAAATATGTACTCCAAGTGAAAAGCAAAACGTGGCACAAAGTGGCCCATATGCCAGGACCTCTCCCCAGCCCTTCAGTCGCAATATGTGGTGATCGGCTGTATGTAATAGGAAGTCTATTAATACTGATCACAGTATTGCCGAGCGCCGTGAGCGCCGGCTATATACGACGTAACGTGTCATCTAATTAGCGCGCATGCGCACGCTCCCGCCGGCGCGCTACAGACACCAAAGAAGCTTGTGAGCTCTGACTAGCGAGAGACAGTGTTCCCAGCTAACAGCCGCGTGCCTCGGAGACAGTCGAAGAACGTGGTTCGATGATTATAGCTCGCTTCCGCTCGCCAAAATTCACTTTCCATACGCGCAAAGGACCAGCGCAGCTGAAGAGTATAGAAGATTTCCGCGCGGCTAGTCATGTGCGGTACCTGCTCCCTGCATGATGATTGCACGCTAGATCTGTGCAAAAGAAGCGCATTCACAGGGGTAATGAATACCTTTTTGAACAGGCCACTTGCCAACCTTGAAATTCGAGCCTTGTATCGTAGCAACAGTCATTTGACTGTGTCCAAATCGTTATTCATGGCTATAACGCTTTGGTCATCTGTGCATGATGCTGTGTAGCAATGTATATATGCATGGTGTCGTCAGGTTTCTTGCAACTGAGCAAAAGAATCGCGCGCAAGCGCCGTGCTGCAGTTACGTTGGGGTTAGCCGGCGCCATGTCGCGCTATGCCAGTTTCTCGCTGTAAGCTGGACCATTTGGGCCCCGCGTAATATCATTAACCCTCGCGCGCATGCGCAGCGAGGGTTACGGTACTTGGTCTGTCTGTCTGTCCGCACGAGTTCTCGCACTAAAGGCTACGAGGCGGCCAATAAGTGGCACCAACTGGTTGTGAACAACGAGAAGATGGATATAACGTGGCGATTTTCCTGAACGACTGCGTTCCAGAGATATGGCGCGAAAACAAGCGAAAAAGCCAACGTGAGGTCGATGGCGCACGCGCCCTCTCCGGTAGGCTATATAGCGCGCACGCGTCGTGTCAATTTTTCGCCGGAGCATGCGCTACGCCACGTTGGTTGTACGATCCACGGGCTTCTGTCAGTTTTGATCTCTGTTCTCTTTGTTTTCAGTGGATAAACATGCTGAGCAAGGTATGTTCGCAATGTAGCATAATAGTTCAGGTGGCGAGCAGTTTGTGGATGCGGCCATACCTTCCCATCTATAAAACGTCTGGCGAGAGTATTGAAACACAGAAGTACGGATAGATTGAATAAAGCAAATATGAGAGCCTCTGAAACACCTGAGCAATTGCTCTAACCGCTTACGGCGAGACCCGTGTTACTGGCTCCGTCGATGACGCATGATGACCCAGCATACAGCGTTTACCGCCGAGGGTTTGCACTTTAGTGCTTTTCATTATCGTCGGTTTCAGTCATTGCTGTCATCTGCACTCTCATCGCCATCCTAACTTTTAAACTATGTATTTTCACTTTCTGTATCTCTTTCAATTGTCTGTATCATGGTGTCATGAATGTGATATTTTAAAGAGGTACAGATTACGACATTGAAGACTTATCTGTTTCATGTCATGGCTTCAACTCATGTTTTAAACCTTTCATTACCCATAGGTCATGTTCTCTTAAGCTACTTTATGTCTTTGCACCTTAATCTATAATACTACTGGAAGCAAGCAAGCGAGTCTA